ACCCAGGATATTACCTGAAAGGTGATCGGATACTGCGCTGCTTATTCGGCGAATGGAAAGGAAGCAAACCAGTCTGTATCGAAAGTAAACTGACTTTGGTTATTAAGGCTCTGTCGTTAAATTTGTGGCGTGCAGCTGCACAGGACTGATGAAAACCAGTTTTTAATCCATTTCTCAGTAATTAATATGCATTCTATGGAGGAAGATGCTCTTTTCTGCTTTCAACACCCGTAAATGTACAGCGTAAAACAACAAGACATTTACTACATGATATTTACAGAAAGCAAGAGGGCACTTGGTGGCAAAAGAATTCATGAGGGTAAGAATTAAGTGGAGGTACCACTGACTTTCTGTACAGCTAAGTTCCTATTTCTCAGATGATGAGGCTTCTTCGTGATGCAAAATTCTAAGAATAGCAGGCTCTTAAGCTTGTGTGAAATGGCTGCGACGATGCTGTCTGATCATCGCGCCTTTTAGGATTGTAGTTCGCCTTGACCCACATGATTGTTGACTATCCAGTGCGATAATCAGCACAAAGAATAACCATTGTTGTTGTCTGTTGTTTACACTTTCTGATATAGCGATAAATGTTTCAAAAACAGAAGCTGAGTTTTCTGCACCGAATTAATTCAAAGTTTCATAAGTTGTTTACCGGGAATCCAACATACAGAATTTATTATGTGCATATTCTGCAACGTTTAGGATCATACTCTATGCATCTTCAGGAAAAACATAACATAGAACGAGAATGTTACCCTATAAATGGAACAACCAGGAAAAAGTTCGATGGATATTTCAATTTTGAGAGTGGAAGCTGCTTCATAATTATTCATGCATCAGCTCGATTGAATCATCAGGTGTTCCTTTGTCTGCCGGTTTAAAAAATGTATTTCTCGGTTTATTCCTTTCAATTGCTTCCATGATACGCCATTTCGTTCTTGTACTGCATGTTCCGCAGCACCCAGCTCTTTCCGCGTTCCTTCTTCATCACCTGTGGATCTTTCTCCTGTCGTCGATCTTTCACAGTCTGTACTTCTTTATTTGATTTGGATGTAGCTCAGCGTTGCACCATCTTTTCAGGTTATTGAGGTATTTTTTCTTCCCCTCGCACTCGCATATGATGCCTCCCGTTTCTTATATGTAATTAAGACCGCACTTACAAGGTAGGGTGCAAATCCAACCGTGTTCAATGGTTTGACATTTATCATCTGGCTCCGTAATATTTTGTGGAATCTGAATACCAACCTTATTCCGCACTCTTAGGCGATCCTTTGTGCGCATGGAACAATAATGCTGGCGTTAAATTTATGCTGTACGCTTCTAGTTTTTTCTTTGCCGATCCTCTTTTCTTATTGTCTCTTCTATTATTCGCCTAAGGTAGCCACTGTTTCTGGGAGCTGCCTAGTTCCCGTGCCTTTGAACTCAGTTCGAGGCAAACGTTGGCTGTAATGTAATGATGGCCTTTTCACGCGACATGCATGGTTCGGATCGAACGGCAGTAATTTATTGGTATGTGTTGGTTTTTGAAATACCGTAGTGTTTAGTGCGCCGGAAAGGGTGTTGATTTATCCTGCTCCACTTTCATCATGAATATGGTTTCTTCCGGATACAAGGTGTCAGTGTGATCCAGGAATAGCTTTTCTGTATCTTTTTCATAACGGGCGATAATGTCATCAGCCTACCTTCCAAACCACGGCATTGGACGTTTCCCTCAAACGTACAGAATGACAGCGTTTGCAACTGTTCCACGAACAATTTTGATAGAACTGGAAACAACATAGCTGACCGCTGTTTTTTTTGAGCCGATAGATCAAAGAAGCCTGCTAATTCAATCGAACGAATGTATGAACAAAATCGATCGTATGGAACTAAGATCACATTGAAACGGAGTTATGAAGCTACAGCCGGGTGCAAAC